TAACGGTGGAGTATTATAGGATACTCTTGATAGAGAGGTCACCTATATAAGTGTGAAGTGTGTGCCGCTTCAAATATAAACACTTATGAATCCATTGTGTTGTCCATGGCCAAAACGGACACAACGATAGAACGGAATGGAGTTAAGACTCTATTGTGTGAATGTCATTGTCTCGGTGTGCACTACGGAGGAATAGTTCAAGGCATTATGTCTACTAGTCCGCCAGTGCATCCGATGATGTTTACTAAGAAAAGGTTCAAAGCCAAAAGCTACATTATCTGATGCAATAGAGTTTACTGAGGATTGAGCACAATTGCTTGAAATTTACACTCATGTGGGGGATTGTTATAAAATTGTGAGTGTAAAATTAATTTAGATATCCACCACATTATTTTGTTAAGTCAATGGTTAGGACAATCAATTGGTTATTTAATGTTTTGGCAAACTAATCCCAACCTCTTCAATTAATGTGTTGGACATCTCTTGTAAATTATTATGTGGTTGGGTGTGGATATTAATTGATTGCTAAATTTTTTATACATTTATTCTCTCACATACAACTAATATTCCACTAATTCAAACGGGTATGTTTGTGAACAATCAAAATTTCTCTCTCTAAAAACCTAAAACCCAAATCCGTCGTGCCCTAGGTTTCCGCCTCTTCCTGAGTACTTCTCCCCTCCGGCGGCCCTTGGCCTCGCGATTCCGGCGAGCATCTGGCTCGCCTTTGGCTCGCTGATGCAGATTGACGGCAATTTCGCGAAGATCCATCCCAGAGGTGGTTTCCGCTCGGTCGTGAGCGCCACGGAGGGAGTGTTCGAAGCGGGTTGCAGTCGATGCCGTATCCGGCGGCCACCGTGGATGCCTTTGTGGGGATCTTCGGTGGAGGTAAGGCCTTGGTTCTCCTCTTATCCGGCTTTCCCTGGTGTTGGGTAGGTTGGGTCCTCCGGCGGTGTCGACGGTGACGGAGTGTGCTGGAGGGGGGCTGTGGTGGGTTACCAGCCGGGGCGCATGGGCGGTCTTGGATGGAGATTTCAGGCTTGAGATCTGGCCATGGCGAGTCTGTTTGTGAATCGTCGGGCTCGATGGGCTGGGTTGTAGATCTTGAGGTCGCTTTTCGATTGGCCGCTTGCTCGGATGTTCGTTTGGCTTTGTTGGGAGTTGGGTTAGTGTTCCGGCAGGGGAGGGATCTGATTTTGTTTAGGCTTTGTTTATTTTGCTTCTTTATGTTTAGTTTGATGGGTAGTAGTTTTAGTTTTAGTTTGTCTTGTGGACTTCCCGTACGGGAGTTTCTGCCTCCACTTGTTGGAGTTTCTGCCTCCACTTGTTGGAGTTTCTTCCTCTACTTTGTTGGAGTCTTGGGTGTTTGTTTTTTGTGTTTTGTTTGTGTTGGCGTTAGGCTGCTCTGGGCTACACTTTATGTAGCTTTCTCATTTTCAGCTTTTTGGCTGGCTTTTTCAGCGTGTTCGCTGTCTTTGTGCTTGTAATTTGTGTTTTGTGGTATAATATCTATCGTTTGAAAAAAAAAAACTAATATTCCACTAACTCCATGTGCTTTTATGTGTAAGATTAGGCATTATCTGATTCCTCCTCTCTATAAAAGGCACTCGGCCAGATGGAGGAAAGGTACAGAAAATAACAGAGAAAAGAGAATAAAGATTAAGAAGGAGAAAAGAAAGAAATATATTGTCCAAATATCTGATATAAAAATATCAAAAGAGGAGAAATAAGTGATATTTTTATTTGTTTTAAGATATTTTTTTTATTTTTAAGTGCTCAATTCTCGACTCCGTTAAAGTTCGCCGGAGCTCGTAAATCTAGTGTGCTACAGATTTAGAGACGTTTGCCGTTGTATCTTTGAGGAAGTTATGTCTGAACCGTTAGCTGCCACACGAGGCGTATTCTTCTTGTAGAAAGAGTTTTACTCCTCGGATAAAATCTTTCTATTTTTCAGTTGTAATTTATTTTTCAGTTCAATTTTAATTTTTTATTTTTAGATCTTTTGAAAAAACTGAAAAATATATAATTAGCATGTACTTTCACACCAAATATCAAACAAAACCTTGGATTGTTTTTTTCCCAATTCAGCTTTTGTCAGGTTGTGGTTTGATTAAAGTAATTTAATTGGGTCGTCTCGGCTCGTGATCTGCAGAATGAGGTCTTTATGGCTGAAAGGGCTCTAGCAGAACAGCGACAGCAGATGAACCGGATTTTACCTCAGGCGGCGATGGCTGCTCGCGGAGGGACCGGTGTATTTCTGCCTCGGATTTCCAGCAATTCGGCCACCGGAAAAGGAAAGGGGTCTCGTGAGTGAAGTAATTAACCTTTTTTTTCTTTTTTCCTGTGCTTTGAGTATATTCGCGATTAAAGGGGGAATACAATTGATTATGACTACAATTGATAGCTCTTTTTCCTCCTTTCGATGGCTGTGGAAATTTAATTGATCCCATAAAATAGAGAGAGAGAGAGAGAGAGAGAGAGAGAGAGAAATTTAATTGATCCCATAAAAGAGAGAGAGAGAGAGAGAAATTTAATTGATCCCATAAAATAGAGAGAGAGAGAGAGAGAGAGAGAGAGATTTTCATTTCTCAACTCTTTCTAAGTATTTATAGGCTAATGATGATGCTTAGATTTGTTATATGTGGGGTTGTCTGGCCTCCAAGCAAAGCAGTGTGTACTTGTTAATGATTGAATGACTATTTCTCGACTTTATTGTGTTAATGATGCTCTCTGCCTTTAGTTCTGCAGAGGTGATGGTGTTGCTTTTCTACCAGCCTTTTGGATTTGGATTCAGAAGCCAATGGACAATTGATTGCTCATAAAAGATGGGGGCTGATTGCTTCTTCTATTGCGAACATTTTCACCATCGTTTATCAAAATATAAAATTGTTGTAACATTGTCACTGAAACTATTTAAGGGCATCAAATTGTGCCTTGTGGTAAACATTTGTTTGGGTTGCTTCATATTCAGCCCAGCAGACTACTCCACAGTTCGAAAAAAGGAAACCCTTGCTCACAATCAGCATTTCATCTAGTTTTACAAATCAGAAGTATATTTTGAAAGAGTACCCGGATCATCATTAGATCTTCACCAGGCTTTTATGAATAAGAAGTTCCTTGATTGAATGTGCCACTAGCAAGTTGTACATTGGTATGTGATTTTTCCGTAGATAATTAGGATTCAACCGTGTTTGCTTCTTGACTAACTCTCTGAAAAACTTAGAGTTGAGAAAACAATGGCAACTGTTTAAATTTCTGCGGAATGTTTTTTCAACTTCGTTGAACTGTTTAATATGGATTGGATCGTCTTTGAAGTTTTTGTAGTATGCAGAGTATGCATTGCACTGGCACTGAATATGAATCCTTATTAGACTGAGAAAAACCATGACGTTACTTTGGAACTCACTCTATTCTAGAAATACGACATATTGTTGAAAATGTCTGATGTGCCTAATAGTGATCGTCTGTTTCTGCCTTTGTCGTTTGTTTGTCATATTTCTGAATTCGAATATTTGACCAGATTAAAGGACAATTTTATCCAGCTAGTCATGTGTCCATAGACTGGTGGCCTGTGTTTCAGCACTTCATATTTCAAACTATCTCTCTCTCTTTCTCTCTCTCTCTCTCTGTGTCTGTGTGTGTGTGTGTGGTGCGCGCCATACATTTGTCGCCATTTCTGCAATTATTGTCTTCAAGCTCTCTAAATCCACTGCACAAGTAAATAATGCTGCACATCAGAACATGGGCTGAGCTTGCTGAGCATCCTATTCTCTAGAATTTGTTGTCTATCTCACTTCTTATGAGGCAAGTTTTACTTGTGTCTGTTATCCGACAGGTGTAAACAACTCATACAAGGTTCGACTCCCTCCTCGCAAGATGTTACTCAGCAGAAGACAAGAAGAGTGTGGTGGCCGTGTTCCTGCTGGTGAGGTTTACATGCCTCATTACTGGAATTATTGAGAATATATTTCTTTGGATATATTGTAATGAAAGCTTTTGGCTTCGTAAGGTCATGCACCAGAGTAGAAATAGCATGAATGGACTCCAATTAGTGGTTAGCATTGTAAAACTTATGCGTTTGTATTTCAGTAAAAATGTCTAACCATAATCTTTTGATCTTTTGTGTAAAGGAATATGAAACTTTTCTTTGTAAGTGAGATGTATGAAAAAGTGAAATATTTCAAGAAAGTGTATAGTGAAGGTCTTTTAATTTGTCTAATATTATGGTTTGAAACTTGGTACATCTATATGTAATATATACTTCTAGATTTTTTCAGGAGAACCATTTAGAGTTTGCAGTTGAACTCTATTTAAGTTCTTCAAAAAGTTGAGATTGAATAGAAAATGGAGTAGATCATGAGAGTTGTTTGCTGTTGGTTAAATCTTGAGCTAAGTCCTCTATTTCAATTTTCAACGGAAAAAGCTAGATTTACACAGATTTATTAATACATGTATGTTGGGCTGTGATCTGGAAAAATAAATAAGGAAATAGTTTTGATTCCACATGAACATAAGAAGCATGCAAAACAAAACGTTACTGTTGATAAATCGTTATTTAACCTTGAAGGTTGCAGGACTAAACTGCAGAAAACCTCTGCACGACGAAGCATACTATTTTCCGCCTTAACAAGACCTGGTGAGCATTCTAAATTCATGTAATGTTAGTAACAAAAAATCCAGTAAGAACTTGGTTTTTGGAGGTGGTCTCTGAGACATTAATGGGAAATAAGTTTTGTTCCATCATATTTTATGGAATACTTGATCAATGCGAGCAGCCAAAAAGTATTTTTTTTTTTGGTTAAAAAAAAAAGGAAATAAGGAAAGAAAAATGTCTAATGCTTTACAAGACAGAAGGTTTTGACCACTGTGTATATTTTTATATGCCCACACCCGTCGACCTACACACTCACTGACATGAAAGAAAAACTTGAGCATATGTTCGATTCGTATGATATGTCTCCATTCACCTTCTGTTATATATCCTCTGCTGATCCTTCAGCTTAGTAGTCCTGTGAATATAAGAAAAAACAATAGTCAAATATTACTGCACATCAACATTATTAGACATTTTGGTTACGGTTTAATAACAAACTACAGCTTAAATTTCACCCTACTCACTGAAAACCTTATAAATCTCTCATTGTTTTACAGAAGTGCACCTCTATCTTCCCCCCCACCCAGTAATTTTGGATACTTGTACAAAGATAATAAAAGTTGAAAGCAAGCAGGTTTGTGCCGTTAAGCATCAAGAGATCGACGAAAACACACACAAAAGCACATACCTTGAGTCCCTCGTTAACCCGTATCAAGCAATTGGTTCTCATCCCGGGAGACAATGTTCCATTGCCAGTGGCCGCAGAGAAGATGAGCTGCATGTTCTCACACATGACCCTCATGTTCTCCTGTCTGTATACCATGTTTTGCGTGGTGAAATTTGCCTTGAGTGCGAGCCTGAGGCTGAACACCACCATTCCATTCCCATGATCCTGCTCCAGTGTGGGCAGCACCCATCCCTGCAGCTTGTTCTCTTCCATATTCTGCTCGGCCGGCATACTGAAGTTAAACTCCGTGTGCTGCATCTGGCCCACCTGGAAGGGCCTCACCGCGGATATCCCGAGCAGAGCCTCCTTGTAGAAGATGGAGGACATGACCCGATCGAAGCTGATGGCAAGGTCCTTGTTGGTGTTGGCGACCGAGACGCCCACGTCCCATGTGCCTGTGAGGGTCACGTTGGAGACGGTGAAGTTGGAGACTTTGAGTGAGGCGACGTTGAATTCCGGGATGTATGTCCCGAAGAGGAACCACATGACGAGGGTCATCATGCACATGGCGGTCACAAGGACAGCCATAAGGATGAGCATGAGACGGCCGAACGAAGATGAACTGTCCCCACCGTCAGGAACCAGCGTCTTGTAGTGCTGCTGGGGATAGTAGAAGTCGCCGGTGTTGGGGTAAGGGTGGTAGGGATTTTGGAGGGTGGGGTCGTATTTGTGGTGGGGGCTGTAGGCAATTGGGTAGTTGGGGTAATTAACATTGTAGGAAGGGGGGTAGCCCTGGTGGGGCCCGCAGGCGTAGACCGGGGTAGAAGGGGGCGGCGACTGGGCCGGTTGAGG